AAGGGACCTGGGGGTCCTGGTCAATGGCAAACTGAATATGAGTCAGCAGTGCCCTGGCAGCCAGGAGGGCCAACCGTGTCCGGGGGAGCATCAGGCAAAGCATCACCAGCCGGTCAAGGGAGGGGATTGTCCCTTTCTGCTCTGCACTGGGACAGCCTTACCTTGAATATTGTGGCAGTTTTGGACACCACAATATAAGAAAGATATTAAGCTCTTAGAAAGTGTCCAAAGCAGGGCAGCAAAGATGGCGAAGGGGAAGCCTTGAGGGGAAGCCGTATGAGGAGCGGCTGAGATCACTTGGTCTGTTCAGCCCGGAGGAGACTGAGGGGAGACCTCATTGCAGTTACAACTTCCTTATGAGGGGAAGAGGAGGGACAGGCACTGATCTCTTCTCTCTGGTGACCAGTGACAGGACTCGAGGGAATGGCCTGAAGTTGTGTCAGGGGAGGTTCAGGTTGGATATTAGAAAAAGGTTCTTCACTCAGACGGTGGTTGGGCACTGGAACAGGCTCCCCAGGGGAGTGGTCACAGAATCAAGCCTGACAGAGTTCAAGAAGTGTTTGGAGGATACTCTCAGGCACATGGTGTGACTCTTGGGGATGGTCCTGTGCAGGGCCAGGAGTTGGACTTGGTGATCCTTGTGGGTCCCTTACAACTTAGTATATACTCTGATTCTGTGATTACCAGCTACTGTTTAGCTCGTATTGAACAGGCATGATGACACAAGTGGATCCCAACCAATCTGGAGATAAGAAAGTCAGAAAAAGCAGGACATTGTACATGTGAGATGCAGTGCAGCACACATGAAGAAAAGCACAGAGACAGCTCTGGGACAAGGGGAACAGACAAATGGGATAAGCAGATGGAATTGAGGTAAACTCTGCTGGCAGAGGGAGCACACTATGCAATAAGCAGATAGGAAAAGTCAGAGATGTAACTCTAACTTAATCTGGGGTACATGCCAAAGAATCCTATCACTAACATTATTAAGACCCACGAATCTGTTCTGTACATAAGGGTGAGCAGAAAAATCCTTTAAAGCATGGAAACAAAGAGGAATTCTCATATGGACCCTGACAGTGCTACAGGAAGATCACTTGCATGTAATACAGATGGCAAACAGCCATGGGGAGCAGATGACCACGACATTTAAGGGCAAGTTTTTGAAGAAAAAGAAAAGTAGCTATTTTTTTTTCCCCAAATAAGATTAGAGGTCAGTTGCAGTAACTGCTTCCCACACAGCTATTCTACACTTTAGGGCCTCCATACTTGGCAGTGAGAATGTGATGTATGGTTGGAATAGTCCCAGACATCAAGGAAGCATCTTGCCTTCTAGCAGAAAACCCATTATCTGTCCACGCTTTAAAATGCTTTTCAGAAGTTTTATGCTAAGAAATTTTTATCATCTTGTCTGTAGTTAGCATACTCTCAAGACCTTCCAATTATTTCCCATTTGTACTGGGCAATCCTCCTAGTCCCACATAATTTGGGCTCCAACCAAGACAAAAGTAACACCCCCTCAAAGGACAGGTGCTGGACTGGAAGCCTGGGGATGACCATGAGTTAGCCTTCTTCATTACGACATCCACAGCTCTCTGTACTTTATAGTCCCGTATTCTTGAGAAAGTTCTGCTGCTTTCTCACAAAAAGTCAGATAAAACTGCCATCCTCAGCAAGCCGACCACATTCACAGTCAAAAACTTTAAGTAAAGCTGGGAATAGATGTCTGTCATGGATACACTAGACCTACCCTTGGCCAGCACATTCTTACCATTATCAGTCCATCAGTCAACACACATAGCAGGTTTCACTAATTCCAAAAACAGAGGAAAAGACTTTTCATTCCAGTATTTGACATGGATGTCCAGCAGTGCTTTCTAACTCTGTGGAACTACTTTGAGTAGTCTAAGTAAAGACAATTCAGCAACCAAAAGAAGTTAAATTAGCACTGCAAACAGCTGCTCCTCTGTGTGCAGAGGTGTCAAGACGGGGCTTAAAGGTCTCAGAGCATTACAGTTGAGAGACATTGCTGAACAAGTATTTGTGACAAGAGACTTAATGAATTCTTTTTTCAATCACACTACTAAAGCTCAAAACTAGATTGAGGCTAAATTTAGGAAGATGCAAATTATAGTAGAACTAAAATGCTTTTACTTGCATTATAAATGATTTTGAACAGTGTCACCTTCAAATTCTCAAATCTATTAGGACTCCAGTCCAGAAAAGGATATAAGCATGTGCTTAAGCTTTACAATATACAGACCCTCCAAATGCTGGTGGACCACTCAAGAATATCAGTGTATCCTTTCCTTCAGTATTTTGTTAGGTTGGGCCACAGTACATCCAAGACTGTTTTGAGCACAGGTGGGAGATACTGAAACCAACTGTGCACAGTCGGTTTTTCTGCTTACACGGGCTTTTTATACAGTAACATTTTAAAATGTTTCTATACCACAATGGTGTTCTTTAAAGAGAAGAATACAACCTTTAGACAATGTCAGTAGCTAAAGAGAATCAGCAAAAAGACTGAGAAGGGCAAAAGACTTATATTTCTTTTTAACTCATTAAATAAAATGAGTTTTTAAATTGGCTGTTTCCCTTTGATACTCAGTTTGGTGAAATTAATTTTCACCTCTAGAAAGAGAACCTTAATCCCTACAGGATCTTTTAAAATTTTGTCTCTGCCAGTGCGTGCTCACAACACACCATCGATGCTCAGTGCTAAAAGTCAGCAGGGTATAAATGGACAGGGAGGTCTTAATCGACAATTTAACTTCATGGACATCAACGAAATCACTTAAAAAATAAAAGGTTTTCAGGATCAGATGCATTAAAATTATTCTCCACCTAAATTAGTAGTAGTCAATAGAAATTGCCTTATTTTTCTAGAGATTGTACAAGTTCATAAATGAGCAATGTCTGACCTGAATATTTAATACAAGCAATTTCTTTTCATAAATCTATACGGGACTAGAACAAAATAAACCCTTAATAAATATATTTAATAGTAAATGTTTTCAGGATTTGGCTTGTAGAGAATAGGAATAAAGAGAGGAAACAGAGATCACTCACTGCACTAACTTTGCCTGCTTTTTAGTTATTTATCTTTAGATGTAAATGTAATTTTTCTCATGTACTTGCTATGAAAAATTTCATTACTGTTCCCAAAAAACAGCATTATCCAGTATGAAAGACCAAAGGAACAAAACATATCCACAGAAAAAGTGCCTGTAAGCTAAAATAAACAGTTACAACAGAATCTGTTGCTTCTACAAAGCCTGGCAATAAAACCTGTCAGAAGCTGGACAGTTAAATTTTGCAAAGTGAATTAAAGCAAATTGCCAATAGGACAGCAACAAAGAACCAGAAATATATTATCTAATTCTTTCTAAAAATTAAATTAGTATTTTGCCTCAGAACATAAGACAAAGGAGGATGGATGAGTAACAACTCTAGAAACAAAAATCACCACATATGAGCTGGAGGTAAGAGCTGAACAGTAAAGTCCAGTAGATCAGATGATGCTAATTCTAAAACACCAAAGCATATCATGCCACAGAAACCCAGTATCTTTCCTGATGGCACTCTGTGAAGAGCACAAGAACTTGAAGTCCAAGTGGAGTAGTCAGGGGAAGGAAAACCAAACCTTACAAAAGTAACTGTAACAATGACCACAGGTATTTCCTCGGGAGTAATCTTCTCCTTTCAAAATAGAATGCTAATTATGGCCCTTTTGGTTACTACATTAAATGGACACAGTATTGTCAAGGTTGTAATTAAAGATTAATGTTTCAGAAGGAGGTATGCAAGGAAGAGGTATTTTCTAGGAGTACAAAGCACGGACTTACAGATGCAGACCTGCACAGTGGAGCTGACTCTCAACAGGAACGCAACAGGGGCTTCTACTGAAACGTGAAACCACTCAAATCTTTTAACTTTTGTATAAATAATTTCTGTGGTACCGGGGAGGAAAGAATTGAATACATTCAGTGTTTTTCTGTGCACTGCTTATGGCAAAGTAGGAGAGAGGGTGACTGCTAAAGCAGAGAGGAAACACAACTGGTTACACAAGTTTTACTTCAAAGGGAATCCCCAGCTGACTGTTCACACAAGCTTTCTATTTCCTCTACCCACTAGAAATGACATGTCTCTGACAAGAGTATGGATAAAAAGGTCAAAGGAGAGAGAACTATCACACCAGACAAAGAGAAAAACATTCATCTTGATTGCACATAATCCTTGGTTTAGATGAGTGAAAGATTTATAATGAACAGCAAAACTTTGATTTTGGAGGATTCTTGTTCTCTGTTCTCCACTCTTAACTAAAAATACCAGGGTTTTGGAGCTTTAAAGGTTTTTTTCCTAGTGAAAACATTATCACAGACCTAAGATAGAGAAATGGGTCACCTAGTGTTTGTCTTTGAAAAGTAGCTTTGCAGTGCCCCTTTTACTGTGAAATAGCAATGACAAAACTGTTAGTAGTGATTCCACATTTAATGCACCCGCTGCAAAATGTCCAAATTGAAGCACTCTAAAGGGGTCTGATTTTCAGCAGGGACAGCATTTAATAAAACTGCATCCCCTAACAGGTGTCTCAAGCTTTGTTCTCAAAATCTCTACCATTATTTTAATATATCTTGCCCTAAACATCAAATAAAACACAATGCAAAGAAGCAGCATGAGAATGAAAAGTCATTTTATTCACCCACTTAAGAGGCCCTCTCCATCTCATTCAGCAACATCGAAGTTTCTAGAAAACTGTAGGGTAAAACCAACTGGAACACAATTAGTCTTCAGTGTTACAAAAGCAGGGACAATGTTTTCCTGGTATTTACATTTTCACTGAATTTATCATTTAAGACAGTGAAATGATTGGAATGAAAACAACCTGGCCTAGCCAGAGGAGCTACAGCTCCTATAATGAAGATAGATATTGACAAAATTGAGTCTACAACTCATCTGTCAGATTCAGGATATAATACAAGAAAGAATATACTTACTGAAACTTTCCACAAGGTCTAAGGCAGTCTTAGTAGCAATATCCATTCCAGAGTTGATGAAGGACTGGGAGTTCTTCAACGAAGAAAGAGCAGTATCAATTATGTTGAACGGGATTTTTGCACCACCTGACATCTTGAAATTGTTACTCTAGAAATAACAGGGACAACATTTTAAACACAGTTTAAAATGAAAAGAATTTGGGAGAAAAACATAAGTATAGCTAACCACAAAGCAGTGTCAACAGAAGCACTGAAACATCAGGGAGCAGGAATGAAAACTTAGCTCCCAAGATGTCAGTAATTTCAGTGAAACTGCAATTCACCACAGGTTTTCAATTCACCTCCTATTCAATATTAAGCAAAACTACACACCACAAAGCAACTGGCAGTTTTCACCTATTGCTCATTCCTATTGCTAAACCACAATGAAGTTCAAACTCAGTGATTATGTCTGCTTGAAAATTACTGTTCTATTTCAGGTCCAAAAGAAGATCCAAAGAAGCCAACTTGCCCAAAAATGTGTCTGTTTTCTAGGCATATTATCAACTAGACTAGAAAGAAATATGATTTCTTGCATTCAATTCGGCCTCACCAGCAGTTGGCCCTTGGAAAAAATAATCTGACAAAAGACCACTTTACTAAGAATGTACTTAACAGTAGAACATCTAGCAATACTTTTAAATAAAAGCCCACCTTACAAATGCTGTCTACTTCCCCCAAGGATGCTACAAACTTTTAGTATTCATATTCCATTACCACAAAATAAAGTCACACAGGTACCATGTTTATCTTCCTTACCACCCTCTGGTTTTCCAGTACACATCCACAACCTACAGCCTTGTGGGGATTAACTGCTCCTCCTCTGTCATTAATACAACCTTCAAGTGGTTTTGCTTATGCTGTGCCTATCCACACTGCTCACATCTGTTGGTTTCTTCTCAGAAATTCCAACTTCTGCTCTTCCTTCTTCATGCTTTGCCATAACTCACTCAGACATGTAGCTACTGTGAGAAACATGAACTTGGTGTGTAGTATTTTATACTTCACATTGTAGATTAGAAAAATTCTGATTCAGCTTTAGATACAGCAGAAAAAAAAGAAAAACACAACAAACAAAAAGTCTTAGATAGACAGAAATAGTGCATTAGTCCATATAAAGAATAACTAATATGTTCAACAACTATATTGAGATGCTGTTGGGTGAAATAAAGAGCAGAATCCACAACCAAATTTGGGGTATACCAGAAGTTTTATCTGAACAGTACACAAAGTAACAAGGGGATAAGTTGTTCCATCAACAGCAGCCTTTGACAGGCTATAATCCAATAGCAATTTGGAAAACATCTAAATAGAAAGTACAATGTTTTGCCCAAGATTTGCATACCCTAAGCTGTATCTCCCTCTACTGCTTTCCCTGAGACTCCAGAATTACATGTTGTACTCACCCTAATCCGAACAACATTGCCACATTCCTCACAATATCATACAGACTATGAGACTAAATACCTGCTGTCATGCTCTCTTCTCTCCTAATGTTTATTTCTTGTCCTTTTTTTCCATTTATAAAATGTGCTTAGCCAGTCAATATTATCTTTTAGTACACCATCTTTAGGTCATGTGCTTCCAGCAACATTTTAACAACAGCCCAACTTCATCACAACTTGAACTGCTTCATTACATATAAATTACCTTCCTCTCTATTCCCTTCTAAAGGTGCATCTTGCCACAGAGGAGGGAGCAGGCTTCAACAATAGCTCTAGTTATGTCAGCTCATACTCTCCCTGCCAAAAGACAGTGATAGCTATCATTAGAGATCTTCGTATCTGTCAAACTGACAACAGAAGACAAGGAAAAAGTTCCTTATGGAACTCCTTGAAAGTACAGAAAAAGGATGCTCTTAAAGATTTAATAACCAATGCCTTCACCTGGTACTTTTTTTGTTTTAAGTACCAGTTTGCCATCTTAGCAAGACTGTATAGAATCTCTGTGATCAAACATACACTATTAAATAGTCACATAAAATCATGTGAGCAGCTTTATCTTGCTGGGCCCAATTAGTGTATCAAAGTGAACGGTCAACAATTCCCTTCCTGAACTTAGTAAATCTCACTGAGAAAGCCTGCTGTTCTTTTGGATTTTTCACAGATACACACTGTGAAAGCAGGAATCTGAAAAAAAAAAAAACAACAGTGAAGTTAAAAAGGCTCCTTCATTCTTTTGACATTTGTGGAAGCACTGAGTAAACTACACAGGAGTAGAAGTTACTGGTCACAATATTAAATCATGCTAGTACATTGGTACTTTCATCTATTTTGTCTTTGGAAAGTAGTCTCTTTTGGATGGATTTTCCTTTTTTTGCTTTTTTAATAAAAGATTATTTTTCTTAGAAACTGCTTAGGATCCTGTAATGCCCCTGCCCACTCAACGAGTTTAGGGGAAGGTAGTTGGATTTGCCCTGGGCAGTGTGCAGGAGAAGCAATCAAATTCTCAGAGGGTTCAATAACAACTTTTACTTGTAAACTTTAGAACATTTGAGTAGAATAAGGTACTTAGCAACTTTGAAAACATCCAGACAAAGTAAGGCACTTTGCAAACTTTAAATCAGCAAATTTTAGCTTATCCAGACAAAACAAAGCACTTACTGGAATGTTGTGGTCTGGCTTACAACCTATTTTGAGAAGAAGGTAGGAGAAGAAAGTGAGAGAAAGAAAAAGGAAAGGTAGATAGTCACCACCCAAGGACCCGGCATGGTCTCAGCAGCTTCTAAAGCCAGGGCAATGGACCACATTTGGCACAGTGTCACCATCGTTTCACCTGCCCCAGTTTGCCATTTTGGGGCTTACAGGCCAGCCCTGTTCCCCCACCACTTTCCAACTTGGTTGTTTTGAGCCAGTCAACTGTTCCTCCACTCTCCTACATCAAAGATTTCACTCCTGGATTTTCTAAGTGAACTCTTCAGCTTCAGTTTGCAGCTGTCCAATCTGCCTCCTGAGGAAAGGCCACGTTCCTCACTTGACTGGGTTCCACAGCAGTGTTTTTAAGACACTCTTTTTTTGCCATGAAGGTCTTCAATGGGTGCATCAATGAAGCACTCATAATTTGCAAGCTCCAGACCCTGCACTGCTGAAAAATACAATCAGCAAACTCAGCGCTGAAAAGGAGCCCAAGTGAGACTACCAAGGCCACTTTTTCTTCTTTCAACAAGTGATCAAATGGTCCAGACAAGATAAAGCAAAAAAACTTATAGTGTCTATTTTGTCCCTTAAATATTTGAGCAAATGTCCTAAATTCTCTAC